ATTTTATTTTGTTGGAGTAGGGGAAAAGATCACTGGGGTTGATTTTTCACCAAAGAGGCTGTTGGATTGAGTCACTTAGAATCAGTACATCACTGGAAATTCTAATTGCCCATGGCCAGAAGACGGATTCTTTACATTGGGACTTCTAAGTTAAAAAATATTTTAGAAGGCCGGGCGCGGTGGCTCAAGCCTGTAATCCCAGCACTTTGGGAGGCCGAGACGGGCGGATCACGAGGTCAGGAGATCGAGACCATCCTGGCTAACAAGGTGAAACCCCGTCTCTACTAAAAAATACAAAAAACTAGCCAGGCGTGGTGGCGGGCGCCTGTAGTCCCAGCTACTCGGGAGGCTGAGGCAGGAGAATGGCATGAACCCGGGAGGCGGAGCTTGCAGTGAGCTGAGATCGGGCCACTGCACTCCAGCCTGGGCGAAAAAGTGAGACTCCGTCTCAAAAAAAAACAAACAAACAAAAAAAAAATTTTAGAGCTCTCTTATTCCAAATGGTTGATCAGAGGATTTAATTTCAAAGAAAGATACCTACCTAATAGTGTTATGGCTAGCCTTAAAATTTCTTTTAACTAAATTACAGAGCAAAAATCTGACCTAAACAAAGTTAATTTTTTTTGTAAACTCAAACTGCTTGCCTTAGAACCTATGAGAAAATAAGAATAAAATCCACTTTACCTTGTGATTGAATAGTTAAAAATTTTATGCTTTTACTGCTGCATCCTGGATTTAATTTCAGATGAAGGAACAAGCCTTATTTGTTTTGATATTTGTGTGAATTTTGAGTTTTTGAGGTGCTCCTTCACCTCTTTGGAGATGCCTCATAAATGCTTGGCTAAGCCGTAATCTTGGTTGAGGCTTATTAGTTTCATTTGGGATCTAATATTTTTGGTTAAAAAAAAAAAAATCAAAAGCCAGAAATGTCAGCTGTTTGTCCTACCTAAAATCTGATAATAAGAAATCTGAGGCCAGGGGCAGTGGCTCATGCCTGTAATCCCAGCACTTTGGGAGGCTGAGGTGGGCAGATCACTAGGTCTGGAGATTGAGACCTTCCTGGTTAACACAGTGAAACCCCGTCTCTGTTAAAAATACAAAAAATTAGCCGGACATGGTGGTGTGCACCTGTAGTCCCAGCTACACGGGAGGCTGAGGCAGGAGAATGGTGTGAATCCGGGAGGAAGAGATTGCGGTGAGTTGAGATTGCGCCACTACATTCCAGCCTGGGTGAGAGAGCGAGACTCCATCTTCCAAAAAAAAAAAAAAAAAAAAATCTAAAAGTGTTGCAGTAGGTAGCTGATCAGACATGAGCAAGGCAGGAGAGATCCTTCCACCTCCACACATTAGAAATGTCAAGTGTTCATCACCAGGTGATGGTCAAGTCAAGTGACTGTTAATTCTAAAGTAATATTGGTTGCAGTTAGGTACAGGGAGATACAGGCTCACAACAGATAGAAAACACGTGAAACAGGTGATCAGCCGCTTCCTGATAAGTTCTCAAAAGTCAAGGAAGTGGGCTCAAATACACACATTAAGAGGCAACACAATGCAGTTTCTGGTATATGACCTTCAGGAACCTTTTTTATTTTTTTTTTTACTTTTTTTACATTTTAGAAGAATTTTTTAGTAACTATGTTTTTAAATTTTTTATTATTTTATTTTATTTTTAATTATTTTATTTCCATAGTTATTTGGGGATTTGGTATTTCATTACATAAATTCTCTAGCGGTGATTTGTGAGATTTTGGTGACCCATCACCACAGCAGTATACACTGACTCAATTTGTACTCTTTTATCCCTCACCCTCTTTCCACCCTTTTCCCCAAGGCTATTTTATCCTTCTTATGCCTTTGCATCCTCGTAGCTTAGCTACCACTTATGAGTGAGAACATACAGTGTTTGGTTTGCCATTCCTGAGTTACTTCACTTAGAATAATAGTCTCCAGCTTCTTCCAGATTGCAGCGAATGCCATTAATTCATTCCTTTTATGGCTGAGTAGTATTCAATCATATATATACCACAATTTCTTTATCTACTCATTTATAGTTTACATTCCCAGCAGCGGTGTAGATGTGTTCCCTTTTCACCACTTCCACATCAACATCTATTATTTTTATTTATTTATTTTTGAGATGGATGGAGTCTTGCTCTTTCACCCAGGTTGGAGTGCAGTGGCATGAACTTGGCTCACTGTAACTTCTGCCTCCCAGGTTCAAGCCATTCTTCTGCCTCAGCCTCTGGAGTAGCTGGGATTACAGGCATGTGCCACCTCTCCCAGGTAATTTTTTTGTATTTTTAGTAGAGACAGGGTTTCGCCATGTTGTACACGCTGGTGTCAAATCCCTGAACTTAAGTGATTCACCCATCTTGGCCACCTTGGATTATAGGTGTAAGCCACCGTGCCTGTCCAACAACTATTATTTTTTCATTTTTTGATTATGGACATTCTTGCAGGAGTAAGGTGGTATCACATTGTGGTTTTCATTTGCATTCGCCTCATCATTAGTGATATTGAGCATTTTTTCATATGTTTGTTAGCCATTTGTATATCTTCTTTTGAGAATGTTTTATTCACGTACTTAGCCCACTTTTTCATGGGATTGTTGTTTGTTAATTTGTTTGAGTTTCTTGTAGATTCTGGATATTGGTTATCTTTCAGATGTATAGATTGTGAAGATTTTCTTTCACTCTGTGGGTTATATGCTTAGTCTGCTGACTGTTGCTTTGCTGTGCAGAAGCTCTTTAGTTTAACGAAGTCTCAACTACTTATTTTTGCTTCTGTTGCATTTGCTTTTGGGTTCTTGGTCGTGAAGTTTTCGCCTAAGCCAATGTCTACAAGGGATTTTCCAATGTCATCCTCTAGAATTTTTATAGTTTCAGGTCTTAGATTTAAGTCCTTGATTCATGAGTTGATTTTTGTATAAGGTGAGAGATGGGGATCTAGTTTTATTCACCTACATTCAGTTTGCCAATTATTTCAGCACCATGTGTTGAATAAGGTGTCCTTTACCCATTTTATGTTTTGGTTTGCTTTGTCAAAGATAAGTTGGCTGTAAGTATTTAGGTTTATTTCTGGGATCTGTATTGTGTTCCATTGGTCTATGTGCCTATTTTTATACCAGTACCACGCTATTTGGTGACTATGGACTTAGAGTATTGTTTGAAGTCAGGTGATGTGACACTACCAGATTTGTTCTTTCTGCTTAGTCTGGCTTTGGGTATGTTGGCTCTTGTTTGGTTCCGTACGAATTTTAGAATTGTTTTTTCTAGTGTGTGAAGAATGATGGTGGCATTTTAATGGGAATTGCATTGAATTTGTAGATTGCTTTTGTCAGTGTGGTCATTTTCACAATAATGTTTCTATTCATGAATGAGCATGGGGTACATTTTCATTTTTTATGTCATCTGTGATTTTTTTCAGCAATGTTTTCTAGTTTTTCTTGATGTCTTTCACCTCCTTGTTTAGATATATTCCAAGTTATTATTTCTTTATAACTGCTGTCGTAAAAGGGGTTCAGTTCTTGATTTGATTCTCTGCTTGGTCACTGTTGGTGTGTAGCAGAGCTACTGATTTGTGCACATTAATTTTGTATACTGAAACTTTGCTGAATTCATTTGTCTGTTCTAGCAGCTTTCTGGAGGAGTCTTTAGGGTCTTCTAGGTATATGATTATATCATTAGCAGACAGCGACAGCTTTACTTCCTCTTTATCAATTTAGATGCCCTTTATTTATTTCTCTTGTTTGATTGATTTGGCTAGGACTTTCAGTACTCTGTTGAATAAAAGTGGTGAGAGCAAGCGGCCATCCTTGTTTTGTTCCCTTGCTGAGAGTGAATGCTTTCAACTTTTTCTCATTCAATATTATGTTTGCTGTGGGTTTGTGTGCCAATTTTGCTGAGCGTTGTAATCATAAAATGATGCTGGATGTTGTCAAGTACCTTTTCAGTGTCTACTGAGAGGATCATGTGATTTTTAAATTCTATGTATGTGGTGTACCACATTTATTGACTTGTGTATGTGGAACCATTCCTGCATCCCTAAGGTGAAATCTACTTGATCATGTGGGTTATGTTTTTGATTCAGTTAGCTAGTCTTTTGTTAAGAATTTCTGCATCTGTGTGCATCAGGGATTTTGGTCTGTAGTTTTCTTTGTTACATCCTTTTCTGGGTTTGGTATTAGGGTGATACTGGCTCCATAGAATGATTTAGGGAGAATTCCATCTTTTTCTAGCATGTGGAATACTGTCAAATGAATTGCTACCAACCCTTCCTTGAATGTCTGGTAGAATTCAGCTGTGAATCTGTCTGCTCCTGGAATTTCCTTTGTTGTTAATTTTTAAATTATCTTTTCCATCTTGCTGCTTTTTGTCGGTCTGTTCAGGGTTTTGAATTCTTTCTGATTTAATTTAGGAGGGTTTTATATTTCCAGGAATTTATTCATTCCCTCTAGGTTTTCTAATTTATGCACATACATGTGTTCATAGTACCTTTGAGGATCTTTTGTGTGGTAATAGCTCCCATTTCATTTCTAAGTGAGCTTATTTGGCTCTTCTCTCTTCTTTTCTTGGTTAATCTTGCCAATAGTCTCTCAATTTTATTTATTTTTCCAGAAAGCCAGCTTTATATTTTATTTATAGTTTGTATTATTTTGTTTCAACTTCATTTAGTTCTGCTCTGATCTTGGTTATTTTCTTTCTTCTGCTAGGTTTGGCTTTGGTGTGTTCTTGTTTCTTGAATTTCTAGAAATGTAACCTTAGACTGTCTATTTGTGCTGTTTCAGTCATTTTGATGTAGGCATTTAAAGCTATGAACTTTTAGCACACTCTTGGCAGAATTCCAGAGGTTTTGATAGGATGTGTCGCTATTGTTCAGTTCAAAGAGTTTTTAAATTTCCGTCTTGATTTCACATTTGACCCAGTGATCATTCAGGAGCAAGTTATTTAATTTCCATGTGTTTGCATGGTTTTGAAGGTTCCTTTTGGAGTTGATTTCCAGTTTAATTCTACTGTTGTCTGAGAGATTACTTCATATAATTTCAATTTTCTTAAATTTTTTGAGACTTGTTTTGTGGCCTATTCTATGGCCTATCTTGAAGAAAGTTTCATGTGCTGATGAATAGAATGTACATTCTTTCTGAAGTTCCATTCATATTGTTCATTGTTAGTGCATACTCTAAAGAATGATCTAGAATGAGTGAAAGTTACAGGCAAAAGCTGGTGGTTTTGAAGCAGAAACATATTCCCTGTACTGGGATTTTGATTTTCCCTCTCCCTTTGCAGAGGACACACGGCTCTTCCCTGATAGCCAGATAGGCTTCACTGGAAAACATATTGCCAATGCTCCAGGGATCCACTTACCAGGGACTATGATCCTCTTGATTATGAGATTTGTTCCACCAGTGGCTGAGTTATGGATGAACCAGATATAGCACCCTCTATATGTTTTAGTGATTTGGGACATAAAGAATACTTGTGCTGATTGCTGGAACTTCCCATCAATCAGCCAAGAATGCTCTGCCAGTGGGTGAGAGTCTGTGAGACAAGAGAGCTTGGGGACTTCCCCTGGATGGTAATAGGTGTATGCAGAAGAAATGGTGGGGGCATGCAGGCCATCTGGAGCAAAGAGGAAGGGCCACAGTGACCCTGTGAGCTAAGTCACAACATTAAAGTCCCAGCCAAATCCCTGCTGTGTTCACTGATCTGGAGCCTGAGACACTCACCTGTTTTTCCCATCATAAGCTGTGGAACCTGATTCTCCCATGACAGGAGCAGCCTCTTCTCTCCCACTGTTGATCAAGTATAAGCCTACTCTTCGTCATCATGGCCAGCTTTGATGTCCAGGGGTAAAAGTCTCTGTACTTGCACCTGAGAGGGACTGAGAGGCTTGGCCTCTGGCCACGTGTATTTGGGATGGCAGCCTGGCTCACAGAGGAACAGAAGATACTCACAGAGGAGATTCAGGGTGACTGGGTCACTGCGGCTGGAACTCACTGGGTTCTTCATTTCACATTCATAGGGTCCTGTAGTATCCTTTGTGACAACAAATAGAATGAGGATCCTGTTGTTCTTGGACAGCTGCAACGTGCGACTGTTACGGAGGCTCTGTCCATTTATCCACAACAAGTATCTTGCGTCCTGAGTGTCAGGATCACAGGATAAGATCACAGTCTCCGCGGCCTCCCTGGGGTTTAAGTTGCTGCTGGAGATGTAGGGCTTGGGAGTCTCCACTGTGCAGATAACAGAGAGAAGATTGTCCTGTGTCTTCTCATGCCATTCTCCTGCCTCAGCCTCCAGAGGAGCTGGAACTACAGGTGCCCGGAAACACCAGGCTAATTTTTTTGTATTTTTAATACACACGGGGTTTCACCATGTTAGCCAGGATGGTCGTGATCTCCGGACATCGTGATCCACCCACCTCGATCCCCCAAAGTGCTGGGATTACAGGCGTGACCCACTGTGACTGGCCATCTCTGAGGGATTTTAACGAGTTGTTGACTTTTGAGTTTGTTCAGCTTTTTACTTACTCTTAGAAGCGAGTGACAAATTTGAAACTTGTTATATGCCTGACAAGAAACCAGAAGTCTCTAGGAAGTGACTGGAAAATGTGAGCTCCATAGAAGGTTGAGGATGGAGTCACGAATGAAATGGGTGAAATCAGCCCATGGGTTTGGGAAACAGCAGGCCTGTCCAGCCTCTGACACCCTGGTGAGTCAGTGCAAAGATTACAACAGTGACAACAAACAGGTATGGCTGACTCCATCTGGCATCTAGTCTCAGGCTGGCTGTCCTCACTCATTCCTGGCCATAGGCCAGGCTAACCATGGGAGGAATTTAGTTTGTGGTTTAATTTTGAAGGAAGAATAATATTTCCTCCATAAAACTAATACCCTTACTTGGCCCAGGGATTGCCTTTGTAAAACTGGTGAAAGACCATGAGAGTAAGATTATAGGAGGGAACTGAATTCTGCTAAAATGTAGGCACAATTTCTATAATCTCTTACTGCTTAAATGTCATTTGGCTAGAGTTTACAAAATTTGTAACTAATTGCTGCTCGAGATAACATCACTATTGTAGAACCTGAGATTGGTCTTTTGAGATGTTTCTCATTCTTTGCATTCTGGCAACCCACTGACCTCATCCATACCCATGACTAATGACTCAGCCAGGTACGTGGTCCCCACCTAGAGTCAGATTCAAGCACAAACAGATCATTTCCCTCCGCCCGCATGATTCCACCCTCAAACAATCCGCAGTACCCATTTTTTACTCCTGTGCCCCCGAAACTATCCTTGAAAATCTCTAACCCCTGATCCACTAGGGAGGCTGATTTGAGTAATAATAAACCTCTGTCCTCCTGTTTGGCAGACTTGGAGTCATTAAAATCTTCATTTGCTGCAAATCACCATCTGGATAAATTGGTTTTGTTTGTGCAGGAGGCCAGAAAAACTTGTCTGGGAATTATAAGAGTGGATGGAGGAGTTGTCTATCCATGTTCCATGGTCTTGTCCAAGAACAGCCTCACAAAGGGAAAGAGCTCTGGATGGGGATACAGTGGAAGCTTATTCTCTTAGTGACCTGGGGACACTGGCTCAAGATGAAGCCTGGCAGTAGTGGCAACTCCGGGTGATTTCTGTGCCTTTCCCATTTCCTGGGTTGTGGGCCATTCCACAGTGTTAGCAGGAAGGGAATAGAACAGTCAGCCTAATTAGAGGGAGTGTCTGGGGAAGGCCTAGGGGTGGAGGAAGAAGCTGTGCAGGACAGGGCTTGCCAGTTAGAATGAAGTGGGAGGAAGATGAGGGACACAGAGAAGCAGAGAGAGGCAGAGACAGCATGGCAGTGAACAGTGGGGCCTACAGTAACTTCAGAGACCCCCAGGACTAGGTGTCCCCATTTCCATAGTCCAGGACCAGGGAGCCCTGAAAACCCTCCAGTGCCCAAGGAGCTTCAGAGTTACATGAGGTGGGGTGTCTTCAACGGCAAGAGGTTGTCGGGGGATGAAACATGGGCATCAGCCTCTGAAGGAGAAGGGACAAGTGTGGCTAGAACCTCCTAGGATTCTATATCTGAGATCCAGTCTCTAAAGAGGTTATGGATCATTCATTTCTTCATTCAATTCCTTCATTTGTTATGTGAGAGCACCTGAGTGTGTGTCTCTCACTGGACTTGAGCTGGTGCAGGGCGTGAGTGGGGAAAGAACACAAGCTCCTCTCCTTTATCTTGTCATGCCAGTGACATGAACACTTTGGGAAACAATTTCAGGTTCAGTGATAGGGCTGAAGATCTGAGGGGGAGGCCTGGACATTTTTTGCACTGACTCTGACAGTTGAGGCAGGTGATTTAGTTTTGGGGAACAGACTGATCAGCTGACCGTTTGCTCTTCCTCCTCTGAGGTTTGGATACCTAAGAAGAGAGGATTTGAGCCAATAAATGACTATGGGGTCCTTGGAACCCAATGATTCCTCACTTCTGGTGGAGGAGAGGATGGGCCTGTGGCTGCAGACAGACCTCATATGACCCTGATCTGCCTTTTGTGTTTGTGTGACTCTGGTTCAGTGACTGTGCCTTCCTGTGCCTCACTTTTCTCTCAGTCATAAAAGCGAAATGGCAAATGGACTGTGGCTTTTCAGCTATCTGTGAATACATTGTAAATTCTTCACAGTCACCTGACCTAATGCTTGGCACAGTGGAGGTGTTCACACAAACAGCATTTATTATTATTCACTCCCATGAGAGAGCACCTTTAGGTCAGATCCCTGTGGACAAGCTGCTGCCAGGTACATTTTCTCTCTTCTGTTTCTGCTTTTGGGGACATGAGACTTTCTATGGAGTGTCCTAAGACTCACAAGGCAGTTGGTTGATGGCCTACAAAGCTCGTCTTTCTGTCCTCTCCACTCTGAGTCTCAGGTGAGGAAAGCTCTGTCCTTGCCCAGATGAGGCTCTGAGGGCTGAGCCCTGGCTGGTGAGCAGCTCCAGGAGACACAGTTCTCAGATCGCTGGTGAATCCCCAGTCCCAGTAAGCCCTGCCACAACCCAGCCCTGGCACAGGCTCCTCAGCTTTATCTGGAGTAAGGATTTAGGGACAGGATCTGGGCTTGAGGCTTCTTGGGCTGAGCTTCTCTGAGAGTATCTCTGGGGGCCTCTTAGGCAAAGCCCTGCTCAGTTCTCCAGGATCTTTCTCAGGGTCAACTTTATGAAGAAGACATGAGGTGCTTGGCTGAGGCTGATCTCTTCCTGCTGAGCACCTCCCCCATCAGACTGTCCTTCCTATGCAGCAAGTGCCTGCAGGGTCTGGAGGCAGAAAAGGAATTCTGATCTGTTGAAGTTTGTCTCCTCTGTGTGTGTCCTGCACTAAATGCTGAAACCCCAACATAGGACATAATGCAGAGAGGGACGCAGGCCCAGTCTAGGCCTGACCATCCTGTGTGTGCAAAGTAGAAGTGACCCTCGCCCTCCAACACCCAGGGATCATGTGGAATCACTCACGGTATAAGGTGAAATGTCCAGTTACTCCTTCAGTCCCATCACCTCGCTTTATGATGATTTCTACAGTGTAGGATCCTGCATCCTTCTGGTTGACACTCTGGATCAGCAGGGATGCATTGGAATATACTGTTTCTCATCCACTGTATGCAGGCCCAAATATAATTGTTTCAGTGTCTATTGTATATGCTGTAATGTAATGCTGGAGGTCCATTATTTGCCCTTTGTACCAGATGTAGCCAGCAACATTCTGGGGCAAATTGTGGACAAGTAGAAGAATATCCTTCCCCTCAGAAACTTTGGTTGGCTGAGCTTCAATCCTGACTTGGGCAGTGGTTGGCGAGTTCCAGAAAATTAAAAGTGATGCTAGGAGGTGGAGAGAGCATCAGTCAATATTGAGATCTATGTATTGGGGTGAAAAGATGGGGCCCTGTGTCCTGAGATGATCTCTTCAATCATCAGCCTTGAAGACACACACAGACACAAACACACACACACACACACACCCCTTTTTTGTGTGTGTGTGATTGTGTGTTTGTGTCCTACTGTGCTACTGGCTCAAGGTCTGCGGCACGACCCCCATTCCTTCAACCCTTCTGACTTTGGCATTTTTGTCTGGAATCCTCTTCCCCAGGGATCTTCATGGCTCCCTCCACAACACCCTCAGGTCCTGCTCACATCAGGACATCCTTAGACTTCTTTCCTGATACCTCCATCAGAGACTCTGGGCCTTCCCTTTCTGACCTTTCCCTGCTCTGCTTCCTCCGGAGCTCTTGTCAACACCTGACCTCACATTCTAGATCTCTTTGCTTGTCTGTCTTCCTGCCAATGACAGCGTGAGCTGCATGAGGACAGTGACTTTTGTGATCTTGGTTGCACCCCAGTGCCTGGGACAGGCTGCAGACTTCTGTAGATTTGAGAGTTCCCAGGGCCCTCCATGCCTGGGTTGTTTCATTTTGCTAAGGACAGTGTTTCATGCCCTGCTTATATTTTCATTTGAAGTGTCATCTCATAATAGTTATTATTATCATTTTACAAAATGTGGTGTCCAGTGCTGATTAACCAGGAAAACAGAACACTTGAGATTTTCCTACCTCTTACCAATTCCAGTTCAATGTGATTTTCCTGTTTTAACCCCTGTCCCTCTCTGGTGTATTTTCCCCTATCCAGGCTACAACAGAGCCTTCTTTCCTGTTTTTTGTTTCTTCTTTCTTTTTTTCTTTCTTTTTTTTTTTTTTTTTTTTTTTTTTTGAGACAGAATCTTGTACTGCCACCCAGGCTGGCGTGCAGTGGCGCGATCTCGGCTCACTACAACCTCTGCCTCCCAGGTTCATGCAAATTTCCTGCCTCAGCCTCCCAAGTAGCTAGGATTACAGGAGCACACCACCACACCTGGCTAATTTTTTGTATTTTTAGTAGAGACTGGGCTTCACTGTGTTGACCAGACTGGTCTTCAACTCCTGAACTCACGATCCACCCACCTCAGCCTCCCAAAGTGCTGGCTTCTTTTATTTCTTAGAACCCCATCCTCTCCAGGAAACCTCATCCAATCATTCTGCTTCCTCCTCCTGTCCTCTCCCAGGAAGTTCTCTCCTCACCTGTGAGCAGGAGATCCTTCCAGGTGATGTGCAGTGTGCAGGGAGGGGCTGAGAGGGGCCCCATGGCCTGTGCTGCCTGCGTGTTCTCCTCTGTGGAGATGAGCCTGGGATCCAGAAACTTTCTGAGCACGGCTGTCAGCTGTGCTGTCCTTCCTCCTTCTGTGCTGAGCCTCTTCCCAAGGCAGGAGCACTTCTCAGGCTCATGGGCAGGCTCTGTGCCCAGGACACCTCTCTGTCCCTTCCCCTCTCAGTCCTGCCTCCTTGTCCCTCCTTCTCTTTTTCCTTTTGTCTGTGTGTCAGGTCCCTGGGAATTGTGGAGGCCTCTGTCTTTTTCAGCAGTGCTTCTCAGGACCTGGGTGTCCCAGAGGAAACTATGCTTCCTGGAGCTGCGCAGAGTGAATCACTCATGCCTCTTGGGAGGAGAGGCCTGTGCTGGTTGCTTAGTGGGGGCTGTGAGTCCCATGGTCAAAGGGACAGTTCTCAGTCACTTTATTGCTCCCTGGGGTCTGGTGGCTGAGCAGGGGCTCAGGGTTTCTCATTTCTTCCTGACCATCTTTGGTGTCCTCTGTTTCTGTCCAGCTGATTGTCCTATGATTACCACACCTTCCCCATGGTGGTGCAGGAGGAAGTGGGGAGTTACCCAGGAACCCCGTGGAACATGGCTCGTTGAGATGCAGGAAGGGGAGCCTGGGACAGAGCAGGGGTTCAGAGCTGGAAAGATTCATCCTGACTTAATCCATGGTCATGATGGGCTCAGCCCTCCATGTGGTGACATACCCAGGGGTCTGTCCTGAGGGTTTTGACCGGGCCAAGTTGCTCTCTGTACAAGAGGAACAGACAGTCGCCAGAGAGCCTGGACATTTCTCACCCCTGAGAGAGCGGGTGGGGGTGAGTTGTGTTCTGGGAGCAAAGAGCAATTATACCCGTTTCTCCCGACAGGGACACAGGAGAGGTCTGTCTTCCCAAGGGATAGCTGGGGGTAGGTGACCACATCCTGGATGGTGCCTGTGTGTGTGACGATCACACGCGCTCTTCGCCCCCCGGGGTGAAGCGGACAGACAGGTCACAGGGTGCCGGACTGATTCCCAGGGAGTCTGTGGGCCCTTAGGCAACTGCTGTTCTGTGTCAGCGCTAGGCTTGGCCTGGGATGCCCCAGAGAACAGGACACATGGAGCAGGGGCGAGCATTTAGGGAGCAGTGACAGAAAGAGTTGATGAGGATGGAGAGAGTTCATGAGGGGAAAGCGCCCAGTGTGGTGTCACCTGCACCAGCGCTGCCCTGGGAGAAGTGTTTCTAGCTGATCCCAGGGAAGGAGCAGGTGTGTGGTGCAGGAGCTGCCTGCAGAGGGAGTGGTGTTAGGTTGACGGCCGCCAGGTCAGGGAGGAGCTGACAGAGTCCCTGTGGGGAGCATGGAGGGCGCTGAGGACTTGGGCCCAGGTGATCCTGGTGAGGGTGGACCCTGCTCCTCTTTGGGTTCTGCTGAGGGAGGTCGGCATCCCCTGGGAAGGCTCCAGGCTGGAGGGACTCTGCCGCCCTCTGGTGGACTGGAAGGGAAGTGTGGGTGGCCGAAGTCCCAGGCCAGGCTGCGTGTTTTATTCCACAAAGATCTGCACGTTTCACACAAGGTCACACGTATGTTATGTTACAGCTCCATCACCTTACAGCCCCGTGAGTCCCAGTCTCTGTGGCTCTATGTTCACTGTTCTCCCTCTTTCACAATCGCAGATTGTCCCAAATGCAGATGTTTGTCACCTGTGAGTTTGTGTGTGTGTGCAGTAGGCGGCACTGTGTATGCCCTGGGGGCAGTGATGTCTGGGACTGAGCACTGCACATGGGCTTGGGAACAGAAGACGGAGCAGCAGGTCGGGAGGATCAATGCCAGGGGAGCAGGGACAAGTCATTTTCATTTTCTCAAGCCAAGGGACCACAACCCAGGATTCTGACTCCAGGGTTCAGTACCACACCCTGCTGGTGTCCCAGGATGTCAGGAGTGTTCATAGTGTCATGCTGCCTTGGCATTCATTTTTTAAAGTGTAAATTTATTTGCCTCACATCAGAGGCAGGCCTTGCTCACCATGGCACTTTTCAATACTGTATCTGGTTCAAGTTTCTCCAGTTGGTGGCCAGATATAAAATCTAAGAGGCATCTCTCCTGCTTGGTGTGCTGGGCTCCCCTCTCTCCAGCTGCTTTCTTTAAACGGATAATTCTGACATTTGCCCTCACATTTAAAGTGACCACTTGTCAGTCACAGCACTATCTCCTGGTCCCAGTGTTTGCTGCTTGCTTTAAACACATCCATTAAAGCTCCCTGCTGGAAACCTGTCAGATAACACCTGGACTTACGAAAGCCACTGGCTTACCAGTCTCTTCTCTCCTCCCTGCCTGGACTCACTGACCTCTGTATCTGTGGTCTCCAGGTGTGCCGAGTGCTCCCCAGTGTCTGTAAGTAGTAAAAAACACTTACACTTTCACCTTGTGGTTGTATCACTATAGCCTCACATGCCATCCAGGGCCTGACATCGAGGCTGCCCTATGGGACCTGTGCTGATTGAACTCCTGCTTTAGCTCTTCTTTTGGGATCTCTGGTTCTTCTGGGGACAGGAGCTTCCAGCTAGCTTGATTGAAAAACTGATACATTTCTTTGAAAACACTGGGTCAGATGATGTATTCATGGGCTTGAGCTGCCATAATTGTTATATTAGCCTGGGTGAAGTAAATAATAGAAATCGATTTTTCACAGTTCTGTGAATAATGTGCTATTTTAATCACTTTAAAATGTGCAATCAAGTGGAATTAACCACATACACAGTGTTTAGTTGCCATCACCACTATTTTTCCTAGAAAATTTTTTTCATTTTAAACTGAAACTTTGTATCTTTGAAACAATAATAACTCCCTGTGTTTTCCAACCTAGACTTTGATCATCTCTACTCTGTCTCTATGAATTTGCCTATTCTTCATGTTTCATATAAATTATTATACATGTATGTTATTTTGAATTATACATATATGAATTATACAAATATGTTACTTTGTTTCTGACATATTTCACTTAGCATAATGTTTCCAAAGTCCTTGAATGTAACAGCGGATGTCAGAGCTTCATTTCTCTTTATGGCAGATTGACATTCTGTTGTATGTGTGACCACATTTGTTTGTTCATGTGTTGATGAACATTTGGATTGTTTTCATATTTTATCTTTTGTGAGTAATAGTGCAATCAACATTACCATGAAAGTACCTGTTTGAGTCCCTGGATTCAATTCTTTGGGTACATACCTAAGAATGGATGCTGTTTCATATGAGAATTCTATGATTAGCTTCTTGAGGAAAAGCACAACTGTTACTCCTAGTGGTTGCACCTTTTTATAATCTCACCAGCAATGTGTGAGGATTCCAAAGTCTACATAAGGCTTTCACTTGTTATTTAACATTTTAAAAGAATGGTAGACATATTTGTAGGTGTAGTGTGGGATCTCATTGTGGCTTTGACTTTGTATTTTCCTAATGACTAATGATGTTGAGTTTCTTTTCAGGAGCCTCTTGATGATTTGCATATCTTCTTTGAAGAAATGTCTATTTGAGTCCTTTGCCCATTTATATAAATTGGGTGGTTTATCTTTCTGTTATTGAGTTGTACCCGTTCTTTATATATTCTGGGCATGAAACCATTGTCTATGTGATTTGCAACATTTTTTTTTTTTTGCCTTTTTTTTTAAATTTTATTTTTTTTTATTATTATTATACTTTAAGTTCTAGGGTACATGTGCATAACGTACAGGTTTGTTACATATGTATACTTGTGCCATCTTGCTGTGCTGCACCCATCAACTCGTCAGCACCCATCAACTTGTCATTTACATCAGGTATAACTCCCAATGCAATCCCTTCCCCCTCCCCCCTCCCCATGATAGGCCCCAGTGTGTGATGTTCCCCTTCCGGAGTCCAAGTGATCTCATTGTTCAGTTCCCACCTATGAGTGAGAACATACGGTGTTTGTTTTTCTGTTCTTGTGATAGTTTGCTAAGAATGATGGTTTCCAGCCTCATCCATGTCCCTACAAAGGACACGAACTCATCCTTTTTTATGGCTGCATAGTATTCCATGGTGTATATGTGCCACATTTTCTTAATCCAATCTGTCACTGATGGACATTTGCGTTGATTCCAAGTCTTTGCTATTGTGAATAGTGCCGCACTAAACATACGTGTGCATGTGTCTTTATAGCAACATGATTTATAATCATTTGGGTATATACCCAATAATGGGATGGCTGGGTCATATGGTACGTCTAGTTCTAGATCCTTGAGGAATCGCCATACTGTTTTCCACAATGATTGAACTAGTTTACAATCCCACCAACAGTGTAAAAGTGTTCCTATTTCTCCACATCCTCTCCAGCACCTGTTGTTTCCTGACTTTTTAATGATTGCCATTCTAACTGGTGTGAGATGGTATCTCATTGTGGTTTTGATTTGCATTTCTCTGATGGCCAGTGATGACGAGCATTTTTTCATGTGTCTGTTGGCTGTATGAATGTCTTCTTTTGAGAAATGTCTGTTCATATCCTTTGCCCACTTTTTGATAGGGTTGTTTGTTTTTTTCTTGTAAATTTGTTTGAGTTCTTTGTAGGTTCTTGATATTAGCCCTTTGTCAGATGAGTAGATTGCAAAAATTGTTTCCCATTCTGTAGGTTGCCTGTTGAATCTGATGGTAGTTTCTTTTGCTGTGCACAAGCTCTTTAGTTTCATTAGATCCCATTTGTCAATTTTGGCTTTTGCTGCCATTGCTTTTGGTGTTTTAGACATGAAGTCCTTGACCCTGCCTATGTCCTGAATGGTATTACCTAGGTTTTCTTCTAGGGTTTTTATGGTATTAGGTCTAACATTTAAGTCTCTAATCCATCTTGAATTAATTTTCGTATAAGGAGTAAGGAAAGGATCCAATTTCAGCTTTCTACTTATGACTAGCCAATTTTCCCAGCACCATTTATTGAATAGGGAATCCTTTCCCCATTTCTTGTTTCTCTCAGGTTTGTCGAAGATCAGATGTCTGTAGATGTGTGGTATTATTTCTGAGGACTCTGTTCCGTTCCATTGGTCTATATCTCTGTTTTGGTACCAGTACCATGCTGTTTTGGTTACTGTAGCCTTGTAGTATAGTTTGAAGTCAGGTAGCGTGATGCCTCCAGCTTTGTTCTTTTGACTTAGGATTGTCTTGGAGATGTAGCCTCTTTTTTGGTTCCATATGAACTTTAAAGCAGTTTTTTCGAATTCTGTGAAGAAAGTCATTGGTAGTTT